AGCATTAATATCCTTTTTATATTAATATTTTTTTAGATAAATTTAGTCAAACGTAAAACAATTTAACTGAGCATTATTTTAGAATTGTATCTTTCTTGAAACAGGGAGGTAGAGAAGGAGAAGCGAAGGACTGTTAGGACATATTCCAACTTTGAGGTTTCGCTTTCGATCTTTGTGAGTGCATGATTGGGATTTGTCAATCAACTCCAAACTTCGGTTACTACGATCTTGACTTGTTGCTCTTTAGACTAGAATGGGTGATGCAACGATTGGGTCGAGGAACATCATATTTAATTTTGGAGGTAGTTTATTTAGCAGCAGGTTCGCAGGTGCTGTATATCTTCATAGGCTGCCACAGTTCGATGGGTTAAAACGTTATCCGTTCTGTTTCAGAATTTGAAAGAATAAACTGATTCGGTCGAATTCAATTCCTGCCAAGTTCCACAAATTCAGATTTGTGGTTTGGTCGATGTCAGCTCTGGATTTTCTCAAACAAGAAGAGGCTGAACTGTAGATTTATCTACTGTACGCTACGGACCTAGTTACCTTTTCCTGTGTATATTGACGTCGAACGATGCATGAGAGCAAGTCCAACAGAATCTCTACTCAAATCATCATCCTATTTTTGAGGGCCAAAGTAAAAAAAAATCTTACTCCAACGGAGCCGTACTATAGTCCCTCAAATTTGAAATCTCTACTCAAATCATCATCCTATTTTTGAGGGCCAAAGTAAAAAAAAATCTTACTCCAACGGAGCCGTACTATACTCCCTCAAATTTGAGAGAGCCTCACATCTTTCCTCTGGCCCTCAGTCCTAAGGGCTCTAGCCCAGGCCCTCAGATCACGGTTGGCGTTGGTTTCCTCGCGCGCTCGGTCTCGCGCCCTCTTTCCCCTCGCGCGCGCCGCCAATTTTTTGCCGCGCGAGCCCGCCAGCGTGCAGCGTCCTCCCGCGCGACTTCCATCCCTTGAGCGATTTCCGTCTTTGTCGCACAAAAGCCCGGCCCCATCCCTCTTCCTCGCTCCCATATTCGAGTTCGTCCCGGTGGTCGGCGATCTCTCTGCTGCCAGGCCCTCGCCGCGCGGCTCCAGGCGGCGGCCGTGACTAGGGAGAGGGTCCCGCGACTCTCCACGTGACCGTGGAACGACCGCAGCCGGCCGGAGATCCAGGCGAGATGCAATCTCGAATTGTTTTGGTTTTTCTTGTTTCTGTAGGCATCCATACTGTAGCAGGTGAGATGCGCATATTAATTGATCGGAAAAAATCTACTTAACCCAATCTTTTATACTTGGTCTACTTCACCCTAACTATAAAACCATCTGTTTTACTCCCTTAACTATCTAAAACCATCTATTTTATTCATGGACGGTTTTTCAGCGGCGGTTTGCTACAGGCACAGCGGGTTGCTACAGTAACCGTGGTTGAATTTTCTTTTTTTTATTTATTTTCGGTGAATTTTTAATAAATTATAGAAAAATCTAATTTTATTGGACTCCACATGAGTAGATCTATACAGTGAATATATAATACGATATACTTTAGTATAAATTTTTTTTTAGCTTTAGATTAATTGAAAAATTCAATTTTGTCTGTAATTAATTAGAATTTATCTATAACTAACTTATACATAGTCCAATGAGTACGAAATTTTTACTATAGTTTAAGCATACAATAATTAGCGTACCATAAAAATTTTACCACAATTGGACCATAGAAGCTGTAGTTATGAATTATTTCAATTAATTACAGACAAAATTAGAATTTTCAATTAATCTAAGGCTACAGTAAAAATTTTATACTAAAGCATACCGTATTATATATTCACTATGTAGATCTACTCATGTGGAGTCCAACAAAATTAGATTTTTTATTTTATGATTTTTCTATGATTTACTATAGCTTTTCAAAAATTCACCGAAAATAAATAAAAAAAGAAAATTTAAAACCACTGTTACTGTAGCAACCCGCTGTTACTGTAACAAGCCGCCGCTGAAAACCGTCCAAGGGGTAAAATAGACGGTTTTAGAAAGTTTAGGGGTAAAACAGACGGTTTCATAGTTTGAGAGTGAAGTAGACCAAGTATGAAAGGTGGGGGATAAGTAGATTTCTTCCTTAATTGATTCCATCAGCTCATCTTGTTTCTGTAGCTAGCATCCAGACAGTAGCAGGCGATCTGCTCGCGAGCGTCCCGCCATCCCCATCGTTGCGCCCGGCAGGAGCAGCACCACCAGCGGTACTTGCTCCCCACCTCCCCACAGTGACGTCATGAGGATGGTGTTCTTGGTGATGCAAGACTCTACACGACACGTTCGTGAATACACAATTTTTTTTCTTGGCACTTGCTGAAAATTGCAATTTTTGGCGGGCGGTGGATTGCTTTTTTACTTCTCAATCATCGTGTGAATTGTGCATTGCTGAATTGCTTAGTTTTCTGCCTTCTTGTTGAAATGTGCTGAAGAATTGTCAACCTTTGTTCTAAAGCGAACGTCAACTTGTTGTCTCCGAAGCAAAATCTTTGCTCCTGCAAGTCGGCCAGTCAGGGAACCAGTATGCCATCTTTCACGCCATCCGGAAAAAGGTAATATGAATCTGGTGATTTTATCTGGTCGTCACTTCAGGTAAAATGTCGTTGTACTAACATAGTACCATGGAACAGGCCCTCCTCCATCTGTTTGTTTTTATTTGGTGTATTGGGATTTTAAAAAGCCTTTAAATGTACACTTTGACTACAGTTTACAGCATATCATCAATTGCTACAAATCAATGTTATATTAAAATATTTATATATAAATATTCATATAGCTATTACTAGTATACACTAATAAGCATGATAATTTGACTATATTTAGTCAAAATTTATTAAATTTGGTTTTTAAAAATCATAACAGGCCTCTAAAACGGAGGGAGTATACGGTTTCCAGTTTCCTGGTGTCAACACTAGCTGAAGGTTCAGATTTGTATCAAAGCAATCAAAACTGTTGAGGCCATTACCTGTGGACTACTTAGACCCCTGAAGTACAAAACCATGTATTTAGCACCCTAAAATTTGCCAAGCCATTCAAAAACCCCCCTGCCCTGATTCAAAACCCCCCTGCTCTGGTTTTGCTATCCGGTTTTCTCAATTGGCATTCCACCGTGGCAAAAGATGACATGTTGGCAGTGGGCCCTTTGTATCTTGAGGGACAGCAAATTCACATGAGCGGATAGCACATGTTCTGGAGGGAAATATCCTTCCGCTCCTGCCAAAACACATCCACAAGGAGACACCACGACACGGCTGCATCTGCTGTCGCTCCCAACCACCATCGCACACAGCTGCTTTCTGCTTTGGCGGCTCTGCCCGTTTGACCTTGAGACTTGAGAGGACTGGCGACGCTAGCAGACCACCGGCCAACTCTAGCTCGAGAGCCAAGAACGCCACCGGCCTCCTCGCTGCTCCGATCTCATTCTCTCTGGTGTCATGGATCTAGTTGCAGTTGCAGGCACGACGACGGGGTATCGGGAACCGGTGCAAGTATGCGCTCGCGCGGCCGGCAAGATCATCCTCACCAGCGAGCACGCCGTCGTTCATGGCTCTGCTGCAGTCACGTCGTCGCCGCCATCGACCTCTACACCAACTCCTCTTCCCTCCCTCTTCTTCCACCTCGCAGGTGCTCCCGCCCACCCACCCACACACACCCTGGCTTCTTTTCATTCGTCGTCGCTGGCTCGCTACTGCCGCTGGCACCCCTTCTCACACCGTCCTTCCTACGAGCAGACGAGCGGGACTGCGGGAGACGGTGGCGGTGCTGACTCCGGCGCGGTGGAGCTGGATCTCGTGGTCGTGCTCGCGCCTCCGCCGTGGGGTGAAGGGGGAGGAGAGCGCCAACTCTCGTCAGCCCGGCCTCTTCTCCTGCGTAGACTCTCTCGTATGTCTGGCTGTCTGCTCGTCATCGTCAGCTCGATCGTGTGCTTTAACTTATATAAGGCCCGTGTTGAAAGACGTCATAATTATCTCCTGTGGGCTGTGGCTTCGATAGGATAGGTTGTGGAGTTGTATAAATATCAGCTAACAAACTCTTGATTTGCATGGTGGTGATAGTTAGTTGTGTTGATGTAGTCATACGTGAAGATAGCTTGTTGTAACAAACTCACGAGTCACGACCAGCTCTCTCGGCTTGTTAGCTTCTGTACTCACATCTATTTGTGTGGCCACTCGAGGGGCTCTTCCTGATATAATTTAACATGTACCCGTCGGACTCTAGTAAGAGAGAGCCGACATTCGAAGCGCCTCTGATCAATTCACAGTCCGGTCATGCACGCATGCGCCACGTGCCACCATACTTCTTCCAACTGCGTCGCCACCATTCTCGTCCACGCGCTAGGTAGTAGCTGCCTAGCTGCTTCGTCTCTGCTTGCTCGTGCTGCGTTGCGTTGCCAACGAACCAAGCGACGCCGGGCAGTGCGCGGCAGCGGCGACACATCGATGGAGAAGCAGCAGCACATCGACGGAGAAGCAGCACCAGAGATCGAGCGAGCACTGCGCGGCAGCAGCGACGCCGCCCCGGCTGCGCGCCAAGTATGAGGCAGCTCATCATCCGGCGAGCCTACGCGTTGTACTTGTACCCGACTACCCGTACGTACTCCACGCACACGCTCTACTCTTCAGCATGTTCCTTTGCCACGGTGGAATGCAAAGTGAGCAGCCAAGTGAGCAATTTTTTTAATGGTTTGACAAATTTTATGGCGTTCGATATATAGTTTTATACTTCAGGGGGTAAAGTAGTCCACATGCTAAATGTGAGGGGGTTATATAAACTTTTCCTATTTTTTTATGAAATCTTGGGGGTGGCTAACTGGCTATGCAAAAAAAAGTAACAGATGATTTGTTTTGCTCCCGCGTAACACTGAACAGTGAACAAGTCTCTCAATTCTTAATGGGATCCCACTGCTGTGCAAGGTAAAATGTCTGGTATTTACATCTCAACACAAACAATTAATGTCTTCCATCGATCTTCCGTCGCTATCTACCCTCAACTACGGTTACAGTCCAGCTGCTAGCGCTGTCAGACCGGCAGGCCTTCACCTCCGGGTCCTCGTCGTCGTCGTCGCCGCCGCCGTGGTTCCTCCCCGTGCTGAACGCCGGCTCGCACGGCTCTGGCAGCGTGGGGTTCTCGCAGGTGAGCATCGTGGTCACCGCCGACATGGTGGGCCTGCGCTTGGGCTGCTCCTGGATGCACTTAAGCACCTCCGCCGCGTTGGACGTGTCCGCGATGGACTGGTCGATGAACTCCAGGCTCTCGCCGTCCTTCCACAGCCTCCACGCCTGCATTGCAGGCGGAAACGGAAACCAAGCTTGCCATGAGTTCCTGCATGCAATTAATGGAATTTGCATCGTCGAACGAAGGAGTAGATCGAAATCACACACACATATCTCAGGAGGTTGAGGTCGAGCTCGGTGTGGTAGAACCCTCTGTTCTTCTTCCCGCTGACGATCTCGAGCACCAGGACGCCGAAGCTGAACACGTCGGATTCCATGGAGAAGACTCCGTCCATGGCGTATTCAGGGGACATGTACCCACTGCAAGTGAAAGCAACAAGTCAGTCAATACTATAATTGGTCACCAGGAGATGTAATGTAACTATCATGGTGTTTCTAACATGTGTAAAGCAGCACAAAATTAATCTGAAACGAAATGTATATGAATGGACAACTAATGACGCTTACTATGTTCCGACTACTTTCATGGTGTAGGCAGCGGTCTGATCGGTGCCGAATATCCTGGCGACGCCGAAGTCGGAGATCTTGGGGTTCATGTCCTTGTCAAGCAAAATGTTGCTCGCTTTGAGGTCCCTGTGGATTATCCTCAGCACCGAATCCTGGTGAAGGTACAGTATCCCCCTTGCGATGCCGTTGATGATGTTGAACCGTTTCTCCCAGCTCAGCATCGACTGCTTCTCTTCATCTGGGGACAGTTATTTCCACAACAGTTAATCTCATGCATGTCAGGATTTGATCATCGATTCCCAGTGGCAGCTAATAGCTAGCGGTAGCGGCTTACTGAAAAGGAAGGTGTTGAGGCTCCGGTTGTGCATGTACTCGTAGACCAGCATCCTCTCCGACCCGTCGATGCAGCAGCCCAGAAGCCTGACCAGGTTCCTGTGCTGCAGCTTGGCTATCAGCTTCACCTCGTTCTTGAACTCCCGGAGCCCCTGCGTGGACCGCCGCGACAGCCTCTTCACGGCGATGTCCTGCCCATTGTCCAGCTTCCCCTGCAGACCATTAATCAGCAGTTACAGCTGATCTGAATTTTGGCCAGAACCCTTTGCATTCAGACATGCATGCATCTTCTGCATTCATACTTGTCATTTGTCAAGCAAGAGAGGATTTTGGTTTACCATGTAGACGGGGCCGAATCCGCCCTGGCCGGTCTTGTTGTGAACCGAGAAGTTGCCCGTAGCGCCCTGGATCGTCTCGACGTCGAACGACGGCAGATCGCAGTCCTGGTTACTACTGCCCTGGCCGTTATGCAGGGAGTCGTCCTGAACATCAGTCGATGCAGCAATCTGGTTCCTTCGTCCGAACGGTGTGCTCTGCCTCTGCGCGTTTCTCAGCAACGCCAGGGGGATAGCTTCCTTCTCCTTCCTGCGCCGTTTCATCTTCATGGCACAAATGCAGTAGAGTCCAGCTAGCAGCAGCACCGGTGCAGCAAACGATGGGACGATGATCTCGACGAGCCTCTTCGTTCGCGCATCCGTGTCTGCTGAGGAAGAGCTGAGAGCTGCAAGATTCAGAGAATAGTAACAGTTTCAGTTAACATGCACCAGTAAGGTAAATTTGATTGTGATGTACTTTCTGTACATCCGAGTTCTGTTTCTTATTATCTGGCAGATCAGTAGCTTGTTTTTCTTTTTCCCTTGTAGGATAATGCAGCTTCAATTATCTGAAGAAAAGGATAATGCAGCTTCTGGGTCTGCTAAGAGGCAAGGACTGAAAAGGACTGGCCTTAGTAGCCTAATAAGAAACGTTAGTGCTTGCCTTTTTTCAACAGTGGGCATCACTGTCGTTGGACCTAACAGCAGTTGCTAACTTAACCATCCAAATTGACAAAAACGCTGACGGCTTTGACTTTTGACCTGGGAGTTGCAGGTTTTCAGCAAGTGAGAAAACACCGGGAGGTAACTTTGAACAATCGCAGGCTCGCAGCTGCACTCGTTTTGCCCTCAACTATTTGACTTGGCATGCTGATCAGCTTTGCTCAACTCCTCTCTATCCTAAAAAAACCGTGAGATATATACGCGACGCGCGTGGCAACTGGCAAGTATGAACTCTGATCAAGTTATTCTGTGAAACAGAGTATTTAGCTGCAATGCAAATGTGACGAGCTCCGTTGTCACCATGACGCAAGAAAACAAAGTACAAAGTACAGTACTAAAACGAGAAGGTAAACACCTACTAAAAAAAGTCGGCCGCATGCAGAATGCAGCTACAAGACGTCAATCAATCAACAATGATGAACACTACTATCCTATGCTAAAAAAAAGAACAACAAAGTCACTCACGATGCATGCGTTCTAAATTTCAAATGCAATTAAAGAGCAATAATCCGAAAAGATTGACAACAAACTCCTTTTTCTTCCTATGTTAATTAAGAGAAAAAGAAAAGGAAATGCCGACACAGTGGCACCAAACTTGTCATCAATTTGATTTGAATGAACATCACAAAGGAAAAGAAAAATGTAGTACTCACGTAGATCGGATGCCGCAAGCCGGACGAAGCGATTCTGTCCGCCATTGTCAAACTGCCTCATGTCGAGAAGGTCGCCGGTCCACATGAAGCAGCCCGTCGCCCCGGGGCTGCTGACATTGGCGCTGGCGTAGGCCCGGCACGCGCAGTTCCTGAGGCAGCTCTGCCGGCACTCGTCAAGGCCGAGGGACATGTCGACGGTGGCGTTGGCCGACTCCGGCAGCTTCATGTTGGTGAGCGTGGCGAAGCCGTCGCCGGTGCAGTTGAGGTCCGTGCGTCGCCTGCACCCACCGGAGCCATCCCTGAGCGCCCACTCGGCGGGGAAGTGCGGGTCGATGCCCGACATGCAGCTGCAGACCGGTTGCGCTCGACGCTGCAGACGCCGTAGGGCCCGCAGGCGCGGTAGCCGTCGCACTCGTTGAGCGGTTAGGACCAGAAGACGCTCCAGGACCGGGTCATGTCGATCCACATGAGCTGCTGGATCTGCCCCGTCGAGTTGAGCACGAACCGCGTGAGCGGCGCGGCGGCGCTGTCGACGACGCCGCAGCTGTAGTAGGCCTCGTCGCGCGTGGCGACGAAACGGAAGGTGAGGAGGCCGTTGGGTAGGTGCGCGCCGACCGGCGGTACAGGAAGAGCTCCGGGGACCCCCGCGGGTCGAGGCGGAAGGTGTAGTCCCCCGGGGACGGGTCCCCGCGGCGCGCCACGACGTCATGCGCCGATCCAGCCCCGTCCGGAAGTCGATGCCGAGCTTCATGCCGGGCAGGAGCGTGTCGGTGGGGTAGTCGAAGCTCTGCCACACCACGCCGGCGCCGGGGACCCGTAGCACCAGGTTGCCGTTCTCCAGGAGCTGCGCGGTGGCGTTGCCGGTGCTGCTGCTGGCCGTGGCCGTGGTCGTGCCCGGCGGCGGCGGTGGCGTCGCCCAGACCACGGCGCCCTGCTGCTGCTGGTCGTCGTCCACGACGATGGCCAGGCTCCCGTTGGCAAGGACCCTGAGCTGCGCGGCGTCCACGCCGCCCAGGACGGGGCTCCCGCGGTTGGCCACCCACACGACGGTCCGCTCGGGGATGCCGTTGAACCATATCCCGAGGTACGTCCGCCCGGCCGTGTCGTCCGGGTCCGGCGCGAAGAAGCCCAGCACGTACTTGGCGCGCCCCGCGGACACCAGCGTCCGGTTCCCCATGAGCGGCGCCGCCGGCGTGACCGTGTCCGTGTCGGTGCCGCCGGCGGCGTGGTGAAGGAGGAGGAGGACGGCGGCGGCGAGGAGCAGGCACCGTCGTCGCCGCATGGTGCCGATGCCGAAGCGCCGGTGGTACGTAACGTACGTGTCGGTCGTGGCAGTGGCAGAGTTGATTAATCGCGACCTGCGACTTTGGCGGCTTGGCCCATCATGGCGCCTGTGCGTCTGTTTAAGCAGTCGTCGGTTGAAGCATGGAGCACGAAGGCTTTGAGTTCGGCGACGCCGCGTTTCCTTTGGATGCGGTGGGGATTTTGGGGGGTTGGGTCGGGGCGGGGCTGACACGACGCGCCGACGCCGACGTCTGGACGAGGGCCCTTTTTGCTCCTGCTGGTGCCGTGGTGCGGCACAGAGGTCCGGAGCCTGGCAGCCAGATGGATGAGTTCGTTGGCCGGGTGAGGACTGAGGAGGACTCGGGACGGGCCGCGGCTCGTCGGGTTTGGTGGTGTCGTGCATTGTACCTGCACAGCGTGGTGTGGTTGGACTGGCGGCGTCAGGCAGGGTCGATTCTGATGATTCGGAACGTGGGGTTTATCCCATCTGGAAACTGCGTACGCGCGGCTGATGTGCTCGCCTACGTAGAGACTAGAGAGGTGCTCCGCGGCGGCGGGATAGGTATTGGCCCGTTCGCTTCGCTAAAAAAAACATTTTTTATAAAAGAAAAACACCGTTTCAACTGAAAAAACAAAAAAAAAGCATGGATTATAAGAAGGCCGTTGCTTCCTAGCTCCGATCGTCCAAAAGGACAAAAGCGCACCCTGAGGGGACGTATGCCTTCGTTTTTGCCCTGCGTGTGGGGGTCCCTCCATCACTGTTCCTGGGTCGATTTTGCTGCAAGCTAAGTGTGCTGTGTTGACCACATGACCGGCACTCGATCAGGCCGCGTTAAGAACGCGCGTGGTTTCCACCCCCACACACGCGCTCGCCGTTGCTAACGTCGGGGAACACCTCTTCTTTCTTCTCCAGACGACTATGGTCTCACTCTCACATCGCCACGCGGATGTGTTGCGTCATGCCTCACAACTGATTTGCATTCACCACCCAACGAGAGATTCGGTACTGTGCCATCGCTGCCACCGGAGCAGGCTACCGGAAGCCCGCGCAGCCGCTAGGATGGCGACTGCGACGGCGGGGCCTTTCTCCTCCTCTCTCTCTTTCCCTGCATGTGGTGGCCATGGCGTGACGACCGGCGGCGGCTTGCTTCGGCGCGGCGCCCCACCACCGATTTGGCACCTCCTTCGCCGGATCCGACGACCCTACGGCTGGATCTAGCGAGGCCTAAGGCGGAGGGCCCTCTTTGGCCACGCCTGGGCGGGTGCTGGTCGTGCCCATGGCGGCGGCGGCGGCTCCGGCCCAGGGCGCGGGAACGGCGCTGAATCCACAAGAGGTAGTGTCCACAGGGAGTGCTGCGCCCTGGATGCACGCGGAGGCGGCGACGTCGGCCAAGGGCGTCAGGACCGGTGCCCTGGTGGCTGGATCTGGCGCCCACATCGTGATGGTGACGCTCGGCTTCGGTGGCCATGGGATGCTCGGTGTGATGGGTGCTTGAGCTGGTGACGACCATGGCATGTGGATGGTTGTGCAGGCAGCCGACTTGCGGGTAGTCAGTCATGGGGCAGCGGCTGGCGCAGTGAACAGACCGTAGCCTTTGCCGTGCATGGGGTCGAGGCACCGTGGCAAAAGCTTTGTCCCTCTCGGGCTGATGACGACGACGCCTACCGGCGCCGTTTTCTTCTATGGAAGCGTCATCGAACGGTTCTTTCCCCTTTGCGTGGCGTGTCCTTTCTGGGTGAAAACCCCTTCTGGTCAGTCGACGGCGGCGCCAGTGACGTCGCATCCCTCCTTGGAGGCGTCGTCTTTGGAAGCTCGCATTTGGTCAGTCTACGGCAGCTGCGTCGCCGTGAGGAAGGTGAAGGCCTAGTTGAGGATTCAAGTTTGCGGTGTCCACGCAGCAATTGGAGGACGTCGCATTTGCTTGCCAATGGAGGGTGACGGTTTTATGGGACCGTACGCCAGTTGCGACCACGAAGTTAGCGAGGAGGCTGGCGTGGGAGGTGCCCACGGATTTGGCGATGTGGCCGACGTGGGAAGTGGTGGCTAGCAGATTTGCGTTGCCGAGGTGACCTGCATGGTATGGTGGCGGCTGTTTTCGACGCAAGGAGGTGTTCTGACTGGCAGCTGGAGGATGTGTGTGGCACTTCTTCCTTCGATGAGGCAGCTAGGTCCTGGAAGCTACAGTGTGCACGCTTGGATCTCGGTGGACGGGCTCAGCTTGGTAAGCGTCGGAGGCAGCTTCTCACGCGTTTGGTTTGGCAGCTTGCAGCGGGCTACGGCGGCTAGCCCTGCTTGGCAGTGTATAGTCTGGTGTGGTACATCGTCTTGACAGGTAGCGCAAGCGAATCTGATTGTGGAAGGGCTACACGTCTTGCAGCGACCTACAACGGCTAGTCCTGCTTGGCAGCAGGCTAGCCCGGTGTGGATCATCGTCGGTAACAACGGCGCTTGCGGTGACGACGGTGTTTTCGGCCTGACGTCCTTAGTCGTCCGGGGGGTGGCAGTGCAGTATGGTGATTTGGAGTTGATGGTGGTTCTCTTTTTTCTTCTTTTTCCTGAATTTGAGCTTCGGCGTTGTGTAGTTTGTGTCGATGTCCCAATCCGACCGACTCGAGTTGTTTTTTTCCTTTTTGTTGAGTTTGTTATCCGGTGTAATTGTTGGTCGCTGTTGTACCGTTGTGCCCGCTTTGGGCTTATCTTCTTTTTAACATAATCGACAGCTCTCATGCCTGATTTATTAAAAAAAGAAACTAACCGTACACGTTAGCCCTATTCATAGGCCAGGTTCAGTAGGTTCCGTTGACACTAAAATCTGGGTTGGATTGGTTTGCATGGGCGAATGACACATTTTCTCAAGTTGCTGAGTTGGGTTGGGGGCGCCTATCTGGTGACCTGTGGCAGATAGCAATATAATTTTCCAGCCTACCGACCCCCTCCTCTTCCCAAAAAATAATTTCCTCCGCCACTTGTTTTACTAAATTGGGCCTAATTCAATTATCTTATTGGGCCAGACCGGCAGCGATGCAGTAAAATCCAAAAATTCTAACGTCGTCACGTATCCCATACTTTTTGACTATCGTGTTCCTTGCAGTAAACTCTTCAAAACGAGACCCCACATGGATATATTTTGACAAAAAAAATTAACGGTCATTTATCTCATAATAAACCTATATTTAAACATAATCGTCGAACATCACATTAATACTATATAAACATCACAAAAATAGCATAGAACATTATATGTATACCACGCAAACATCACATATATCATGAAATATAAAAAATTAAAAATTAAAAAAATAAAATTAGTAAAGTAATTAATTATAGTCAAATAAAAAGAAGAAAAAATGCTACCGAACATCGCAAATACATCATAGAACATAACACTAAGACTACACGAACATTACTAAATATAGCATAGAACATCATTGTATACTACGTGAACATCATAAATATCATGAAAATGTAAAAAAATAATAAAATTATTGAAGTAATTAATTAGAGTTTAATAAAAAGAAGAAAAAATGCTACCGAATATCACAAAATATATCTTAGAACATCAATATATGTGTCGGATACCAGAAAATGGGGTACCCCAAGCAAAGATCGAGAAACTTCTTAGACCCTAAAAACAGAACCAACGGAATAAACAAACGAGGTCTCGGCCGAAATCTCCGATTCGCCCGAGACCCGTCATGAGCCCCAATGAAGCAAACGGTTCTCCGACTACTTGAGACCGCCTCGCCGAGGCCCCCACGCCGAGGCCCCCTCGTCGAGGCCCCTCGCCCGGGCCTCGGAAGAAGTGCCGATTCTCCGATTCGCGCGAGGCGGCTCGGCACCAACCCCGTGACCGCTTTTTTTGACCAAACTGCCTCGACCGAACGTCACATCCAGCGCCTAACCACTCCAGCAGAGGCGACGATGTCACAGAACGGCGAAGTGACCGGCTACACGCCGGTCGCGTCAACCCCCGCCATCCGAGGCGGCCTGAGCGGGGGTTACCGACCACCGTGGCCGCTTAACTCCTGCACCAAGGACATCGCAACGTGGGGAGTCAGAACGGGTTTCTGTAGCCTCGGAATCAGCGGACCGACCACTCCGTCTCGCCCGAGCCCCCTCGACAGGGCCTCGGATTCACTGATCTTACTACGCCTCGCCCGTCCGCCTCGCTCGAGACCCCCTCGAAAGGGCCTCGGATGAATCGACCGCGCTCCGCCTCGCCCGAGGCCGGGCTCGTTCCACAACCTCGTCGCCTCCGCCTCAAAAGTCTCTCTGGCAGGCTGTCACATCCGATTAATGCGCTCGGCCGCACCCACTACGTAAGCCACGATGGGCGGTCTTGCCGCAACAGGAGTGACGGGACAACGGTCAGATCACCTTTTTACCATCCCTCTCGACAACACAGTACCGTATTCAGCAGGCGCGACGTCTCGCACTATTCCACGATGGTCTGCTGAGACCCGCATCCGCACTGGTCACTTCTCGTGCCCTCGGACGACAGGCCTCGGCACGCGACCGGCTACGAAGGCCGCCGAGCCTCTACAATCCACCAAGTCAATAAATGCGCGAAGATGTTACTTGCGATGAAGACCATACCGATTAGACATCTCACGGAACTCCCACGACAACGCCATGTTTGCTCGAGTAAATCGTCATCGAATAGTCCTTGCTCCACGTAGCTCTCTTATGTACTCTGGTTTCCTCCCTGCGGCTATAAAAGGAGGCAGCCAAGACCGCTTCAGGAGATTTACGGATAGAATCACGATACTCAAGACGAACAACACGCCTCGCTCAGAATTCATATCACATCCCCTCACGAGAGATCTGGAACGAACTCCCTCTCTCGCCTAGCTTGTAACCCCCTACTACGAGCACCCCGTGCAAGGAATACAAGAACACCTTCTCGGATCGACGTAGGGCATCCATTACCCGAACCAGTATAAACCTTGTGTCTCTTTGCATCTCCATCCGGAAGAGGGAGCACGCAGAACAAATTC